CTGTATACTTGATCAAATTAAGTAAAATTTACCTGATTTATTCACAAATCTTTAACTATATTTTAATAACTTATACTAGATAATGATGAATAAATATTACATGAATTTGTAGCATTTACATTTACTTAAACATTAGTGCAAATTGTTACAAGGATTATCTTACAATTTCTTTATAACAGTGCACATGCCTCAAGCACAATATTTTAGCATGACACCTCACAGCTACAGAGAGAGGTGTAGCTCATGTTGTATTTCAGGATTTCACCACCAGGTGGCAGTTTTGAAGAACCTTTATTGGATTCTTCTTCATGAACAAAACAGACAAAGTAAAACTCACAGGTATTATGACTAGGCCTACCACTCTCACTTACGGTTACTTCTGCTGAACTGTTTAACACAAGTTAAATAATGAACACACAAATTAGAGTAACACAACAGACTAATTGCTGAAAAAACAATAACCAATTCCCTAAAATGATTTATCAACAACAAACATGAATCCTACCCACAATCCTCCACTGCAGTCACATGACAAACAGCCAAACACAGCAGAATGCTACAATATGCATTCCCTGTTCCCTGACAACTAAATATCACCTACATTATGCCATCAAACTATTGCACACCAACAAATGTATTCAAGCAAAAGAAACCTGACAACTTATGTTTTATTTCGACCATGTCTTGTCCTCTCCTTGAAAAGTGAAGCAAGGGAATGAGGAGCAGCAACCTTTGTGTGTGCATGCGCCCTCAGTTTTAGCCCAGAAGAGTAGAAGTTACTTAATATATTCATGTTTATGTGCTGTCCAGAAAAAAGCACTTAAACATTACTGGTAAAATAATATTAACATTTACTTTTTTGTACAGTAATATTGATATATATTATAATGTGTATTGTTAATTTAGTAAATTCTAGTAGTTTAGAGATTTAGATTTCTTTTTGTAAAATTTAAAAGAACAATTAAATAAATGTTACTACACCCAAAAGTTCTTTTTTTCAGTGCAGTAGGAGACAGTTTAAACCCAAGCTGGTCTACAAAGAGAGGAATGAACACAAACGATGAAAAAGTATTTCTTGTACTTGTACATACCATAAATATGGAGTTCAGCTGAATTTGGTGCTGGGGGAAAAAATGGCCACTCCTGCCTTTTGGCTCCGCCTGTAGACTATGTGGAAAAAACAACGAGTGAAATCTAAAAATATTACAAAACAAAACAACTGGACTTCTTTTCTGTAGCTGAAGATGTAATAATTCTCATCCAGGGAACTTTATCAATTAAAATAACTGGAAAATGTTGGGTTGTAAACTTTTAAAATGCATGAGATGCTTCCTTACATGCAGGTTACCTTTCTCCCTCTTTACTTGCCTGACTCATAAATGCTTTGGTTAACCGCATAAAAGATGTTGATTAGAGTGAAAATACCCATCAGGATTAAGGCTGCTTTGATGAGAAAGTTTTTATGGAGCTACAAGCCTTTCAGCATTTCATGCCAACCCAAAGAACAAACTGAAATAAAAAATCAGAATCTCAAGGGTACCACTTTAACACTTCCAATCGAAGATCCCAATTTCAATACACCAACAATACAAACACTGCTTTTCCATCAAACTCTTCCTCATTCAAAGCTTCTTGGGTCATAAACCATCAGGCTTCCCTGCTGCTCTCCTCATCACAGCCCAACAGAACAGACAGAACTTCACACTTTAACTTGGTAAAGAGGTTTTAGGTCAGGTTTGGTTTTCTGTTTGTACGTTTTACTTGTGTTTATTGTTGTATTGACTATAGGTGGTACATATCACCACTGAGGACAAAAATAACTCAATGTAAAGAATCCGTGTGAAAAGGAGCTCACCTCTTGGCAGAAGAAGGTTGCTCTGATTGAAGGTTGAGATGTTCATCCATGCTGATTTTGGACACAATGCTGAGTGTTCGTCCAATCCGGGCATCGAGGCTGTGAATAAAGATGCTTGTTGATGTTAACGTTCATGGAGAAATCTCATGAGTCCTTTTCACAGGGTCGGTGTTCGGTTTGTAACGTGGGTCACTATGAATAGACTAAATTACCGATGAGTCTTCCTGTCGATGTGATTTTTTTGTCTTTCTTCTTTATTCTTTGTCTGAAGGGAGTGGCTTGGCCCAGAAGGAGGATGTATAAATAGCCTGAACTTATATAGTGCTTTACCAACTTCAGGGCTGCTCTCCTCATTATAGCCAAACAGAACAGACAGAACTATAAACTCTGACTTGGTCAAAGAGGTTTTAGGTTTTATGTTTGCAAGCTTTACTTGTGTTTATTTCATTGTTGTCATATTGACTTGATATGTGGTAAATATCACCACTGAGGACAAAAATAACTCAGTGAAAAGAACCGAAGCTGTGTGAAAAAGAGCTGAACTCACCTCTTGGCAGCAGAAGGTTGCTCTGCTTGAAAGACAAGATGTTTATCCTTGCTCTTCGTGGACACATGGCTGAATGTCCGTCTGTGAATATAGACGTTTGTTGATGTTAAGTGTATTACTTTACACACTTACCATTGAAGGTAGAACTGATGGAGCTTTGTTAAGGGTTGGTGTTTGGTTTGTAATGTAATGTTTGCAATGTAACTGTGGTTAGTGCAATCTAGTCCTTGTATAACCACAGCAGGAGCTTTGTTCCCATTCTTGGCACAATGTCAAGCTTGTTCTCAGTGCGGGTTGGACTTTGCCAGGACTATCCCTCGTCTCTGATCCTGTTGTTGTGTTTATGGAAAGGGTCTCAAGGCACAGGCATGGAGAGGAGGGTCTCATGTCTGCTTTATGTGGATGATGTAGTTCTGCTGGCGTTTTCAGGCCAAGAACTTCAACAGGCACTAGTTCACAGCCGAGCTGGGATGAGAGTCAGTTCCTTTAACTCTAAGGCCATGAAAACAGTGGAATGCCTTCTCCAGATTGGATGAGAGTCTCTGCCTCAAGTGGATGTATTGAAGTATCTGGGTGTCTTGTTCATGAGTGGTGGTAGGATGGAGCTGGAGATGGTTTGGGGCCTCATCCTCACTCATGAGGGCGTTGCTTTGGTTGGTCGTGGTGAAGAAAAAATTGAGTTGAAAGACAAAACTCTCGATTTACTGGTTTTTCTATGTTCCAACCCTCACCTATGGTCAGAAGGATCATGATCGAAAGAACAAGATCCAGGGTACAAGTGACCAAAATTAGCTTCTTTTGTAGGGTAGCCAGGCTCAGACTTATAGATAGAGGGAGGAGCTCCATCATCTGGGGAGAGCTCAGAGTAGAGCTGCTGCTCCTCTGAATCAAAAGGAGTCAGTTGAGGTTGTTCAGGCATCTGATTAGGATGCCTCCTGGACACCTCCCTTTAGAGGTGTTCAGGGCACTTCCCACTGGTAGCAAACCCCAGGGAAGACCCAGGACTCGCTGGAGGGATTATGTATCCTCTCAGGCCTGGGAACGCCTCGGGTTCCCATGGAATGTGCTAGAAAGTGTCGCTGGGGATAGGAATGTCTGAGCTTCTCTCCTGGACCTGTTGCCTCCAAAACCCAGTTATGGATAAGTGCAGAAGGGTTACCATCACAGTCCAACAGGACTAAACAGCACACTTTACCTTGGTCAAAGAGGTTTTAGGTTAGGTTTGGTTTTCTGCTTGTAAGTTTTAACTTGTGTTCATTTTATCATTGTTATATTGACTTGACAGGTGGTACAGATCACCAGTGAGGACAAAACAACTCAGTGAAGACAATCATGAAAAAGAGCTGAGCTCACCTCTTGGCAGCAGAAGGTTGCTCTGATTGAAAGAAAGGAGATTCATCCTTGCTCAAGTTGGACACACTGCTGGGTGTCCGTCCAATTCTGGCTTTAAGGCTGTGAATATAGATGTTTGTTAATGTTAGTGTATTATTGTTCACACTTACAATTGAAGGTAGAACTGATGGAGCTATAAGGGTTGGTGTTTAGTTTGTAATGTCCTGAATCACACTGATGTTAAATCGAGTTGTTATAATGTGGGTGCCTAACTAGAAGTGTAGCAGCTGCATCCCCACTAATAAAAAGAAAAGATTTAGGCATTTGTTACTCATTAGAATGTGGCTGAAATAGTTATTTTTCATTATCTTTCTGGTTTTTTTAACATTTTTACCATTTTTTAAAGATATGCCCACTCTTCCTTTCAAAAATTCTCAAAATCTATAAAATTGCTGAGACATCTCTTGTCCATCTTTTTCAGGTCACACAGATGTAAGATTGAATTAAAGTTTTGAATCTACTCAAAACTGAATACCACACTGTAATGCAATTCTTCAGTTGATTTAAATTAATGCTTGGAGTTGTAATTTAGCTTAAATGAAATTAATTTTCTAACTGAAACCTGAAGGTCAAACAGCTGAGCTGACTGAAAGGTTTACTGGTCCTGGTAATAAAGAATATGATTCAAAATGACTCGTAGATAAATTATTAGTTAAAAATAAAATACAAATCTATGTGACATTTCAAAGAGTAACACTTCCTTAAAAATGTTGCATTTATTTTTAGCAAATTGTTTTCTTTGTATTTAATTTATTTATGGCATTTTCATTTTTCCGTATACGCAGCTCTCAAACCATCACCTGATTCTGTGATGCTGATTTAAACATTCTTTTTGTGTGAAAAGAGTTATGGATGGTTAAAGACGTTTGGCTGACCTCTCATCATTGCTCTCAAGTGTCAAATACCAAGTGGTTTTAGAGGAACAAACTTTGTCCTCAAGCTGATCCATGCTGCTGAAGTCACCTCCACATCAGCTCACACACCGTATACCTTCACCTGCAGAGGAAACAGAAATTACTAATCTGAAGCTCTAATTATCATTTTATCATTTCTACAAAGATCAGCTGTTCCTTCACTGATTGGCTCTTTTGTTTTGTCTCAGATTGAGATGAACGCAGTCAGACAGAGGAAGCTGCTGTACTTTTATCGCATCACTAGATGGTTATGCAGCTGCAACTCCTTCACACTGATTCACTTTGACTCTTTTCACATTAATCCAGTTCAACATTTAAAATCACCAGGGGCCTCATGTACAAAGACTTGTGTGGATTTCTTACTGAAAAGTGGCGTACGGTCAAATTCAGAAAACTGCGTACGCACAAAAAATCCAGGTGTTTCAAACAGTGCGTACGCCTGAATCCACGCACATTTCTTTTGTACATCACAATTAACGTGGAACTGAGCGCAGGTAAGACACCTCCCCTGACACGCCTTCATTAACAAATGTTAAACAGATGCAAATTACTTCCTGCTTGTGTGAAGGACTTGTTTGTTTGATCCCTGCGCGATCAGAAATGATTTCTAGAGTCAGGAAAATAATGAATTTAACATAATGTGAGTGAGAAATTCTAAGTAAGAATAGGAATAAAATATGTTTGTCACGCAAAGAATGAGTGATTGTGTGTCAGTGTGTGTGCGTGCGCGCACGCTGCTGTGGCGCGCATCCGGCTCATCCATCCGTTCTGTCTGAAAATATTTAGCCTACTTTGCGCAGGAGTTTACTACCATAATTACTGTAAGCACAGAGGAACTTAGATGTTTGGTAGAACATAGATCTTAGTTTATTTCATAGCTGATATTAAGAAACGTGTCTCTGTATCTCAGTGGGGAGTTCACATGACGTGACATGATGTTGGAGAGTCTCCACAAATGCTGTGTGCGCTGCAGCCTTTGTGCGCAGTCTGTTTGTCTGTCAAGCTTTTGCTCTCCTACTTACAGCATTTTCACAAGTTGTAAAGTGTACTTCCACGCTTTAATTTGGAGAAACCTACAACAACGTAAACACCGGTGTTGTGCGAAATTTAGTGAAAATCTGTTCCCCCTAGTGGTTAACCTTAGAGAGAATCACTGGTCCAGGCATAACGTCAGACCAAACAAACATAAATGGTTAATATGAGGGAAGAGCTTCCATCACAGGGGGAACTGAATTTCGTACAACACCGGTGTGGGTGCAGGCGCTCCAAAGCGCGACCATAACTCATCCTTTAGAATCATATGGATGAGATGATTCCATTGGGCATGACTTGGCTTTGGGTGGACTGGACTGACACGGTCCCGATGGGTCTGCCAGCTCCCTCTGGAAAGATACTGCGGAACCCCAGTTTGATCGCTGCTGCTGCATGTTCGCACGCGGCTCCTCGCTGTGTTGCGCTCCAGAGCACAGCAGTGCCAAACTGAAAAAGGATTATTCCTGAAAACGGCTCCATAGATGAGCCACTCATCATCAGGGATCAGAAAATTCTGTTAAATAAATGCTCTGCGTGTTACACTATTAGCTATATCCACAAGTAAGGCTAAATCCGTTCCTGGTAAATGTATTTTTGGCATGACTTTGCGCATCCTTTCTCTAAATGTGCCCATGTGGATGTACTAATTGTTAATCATGTGTCTGGTGTGAATAACAATCTTTTTCACATCATGAACAGCTTCTCAGAATCACCTCTAAGTGAAGTGATGCCAATGGAACCAAAACCACAGAAACATGTGTACGCCAGCCCTGGAGTTGGCGTGGGGCTGCGCACATTTCCACGTTCATTTCAGTTTTGACACATCCAGAGTTTTGCGTGGAAAATGGCGTACGCAAGGTTTTTGTGCGTACGCACCGTTGCTACATGAGGCCCCTAATGAAGCAACAGAAGATCATCGGTGCTGAAATCTTCTTACTGTTTAGTTTTTGGAGGACTTTTGACATGAAATTGAAACACATGATCTCAGCTGATGGGAGGCTTTTAATAAAGCTAAAAATCAAAATATTTGATCCTTTTAATAAATTGTAACATTTAGAAAGAGAAATGTTAAAAAAAATAAAACTGCTTACTGGTCAAAATATTCCAGGAAGATGTTCACGTTTGCTTAGACATGAAAGAAAAGCTGAGAGGAAAAGTTCACCAGATTTTGTTTTAAAGGTGCTCGTGGAACGTGGTGATGTTTTCAGGAGTAGGGCCTCGTGTTAGAATCACCCCACATAGAGGTGGTGTGGGCCAGATCTGGGATCAAGCTGACACTGCTGGCTGACTGCTGCCATGGCAAGTGGTTTGTCAGCCGATGTGGGCCAGATCTGGCAATGATGACACTGTTTTTAAGATTGCATGCTACAACTGGCCCAGTTGTGGTTTGGTTAATGTGGTGGCGGCCCATGAATGGACCATCTCTGGCAAACCACATCTGGACCACCAATGGGCTGTCATTCTTTGGGGTATCTGGGCTGAGTGTTAGTGTATTGTGTGGGCCAGAACTGGGCCATTCAAAATTTTGCTATGTGGGACCTCTGTGACATAAAACACATATCCTCATGTGTTTTATGTCTCCTTTTAGCTCAGGAATCTATCACGTCTCCTCAGACCCTCTGAAGTGGCTCCTTGTAACTTTGACTAAAAGAAAACATGAACCTGGGTCATTTCTCCTTCTAAACCTACAAAAGGAAAATACTTTTAGCTGTTAATGTGTCCAAACATTTCATTTCTGCAAAAGAATGACACAAAAACAAGTTTTGCTGCCTGAAATCAGTTTTTTGAAAGAGATTAGTCAACATAACACATATAGACTCAATGGGCCTCATGCAAGAACATGTTCGTATTCTTCTCCTAAATTTCTCTTACTTTTGTTCGTACGAACATGTCACGTCAGATTCAACAAACGCTTCTATCTTCAGGAAACGTGCGTAAATGAGCTGCGTAAATTCTATCCA